TGCACGAATTTTAAACCAACTGGAAAACGCGAAGGGATGGTCACTACTCTATGCTCTGAGTGACCGGGTCAAAGTTTGCAGGCAAACAAGCTAATTGCAGGAAATGGTCAACTGTCAATTCGTCCCACTTAAGATGAGTAGGCTAGGAAAAATGACAATTGTTGTTTGTAGAAATGATAATTCAAGTCGACAGTTACCGTAATCGTTTGTATGTTCGGCGAGCCACCGTAATCGATCAGAGTGTTGATTAATTTTGCTTCTTCGCCAGGGAAGTGCAACTGGTCGGGAGTAATTTGGGCTGCATAATGCACAGCAGTCAAACCATCCTGAAACAGATCGCAGCGATGATAACAAATTATCGGTATGCATCGAAAAGGTAATGGGCTTAATTAGCGGTATGTAGCTCAGTAACGAGAAATCTAAAATAGCTGTGCCCAGAGCATGGAAGCATCTCACTAACATCACTGCTATGAGACACTGACACTAATTGTTCGAGCAATCGTGATTTTTTTGGTAAATTATCATAAATCGCTAAATAATTCTTAAAATGCGCGAAATATCACTATAAACTGATAAAACAAAAGGACAAAAAAATCAGTAATTTGTCGAAATGAGATGTGGGGGCAGAAGATAAAGATTCACGCATCCCTATGATTAAACAGATTAATTCCTCAAAACAGTACTTGTTTCTTCAACTACTTTAACAAAATAATTACAGTAGTAACAGCACCTGAGCTGTTCGCGCATTGACGAATTCGTTGATTTCATGTGGTGAAAGTTGCTTGGCGAGGTGTTCCAAGATAAGCGATACTGCTTCACTGTTGCAGCTCCGTGCTGCCACGTGCAATGCGCTTTCGCTCCTCTGTAAAAAAGTCTGTGAATTTTACTACTGCTTAAGTTAAATAAAAAAACCGAAAACAAAGGAAATAGTCTTCTCCTAGTCAATAAGATACCTTATTGTGATCTTGGAGTGGCAAGTTTCGGACAAGATAATGATGCTCATTTCATACCTGTGAAATCCTGAAATGGCTAAAGCTTTGCCAAAGTGTTTCTACTGGGAGACCACCTGAAGTACTTATCTTTTCAAAAGACGAATGGAACATCAGGAACACTAACAAGATGACCATCAGGCGATGCAGCATTGGTCATACAACAAGGGAAACATAAAACGATACTGCAAAATGTAGCTGACCAAAATGTTATCTCCCTAGAGCTTCAGGATTTGAAACTGTGTGACTTTTAATATCGATTTTTGCTAAAACAGAAATTAAGCAGCTGTGCGGCAAACCAGCAATACGGTTACTTTCCAGATTTATCCGTCTGTTATTTTGAAGTAAAAAAACTAATTAATTTCGTGGTGTTCACGAGATATTCACGGTACCGCTGATGTGATTTGAGGATCGGCGCCTTCACTGAGCAACAGCTGTATCATTCCCGGAAGCGGATTGCTTGCAGCGATGTGCAGTGCCGTTTCACCATCATTTCGCGCAGCATTCGGTTGTGCACCACTTTTCAGGAGCATCATTGCACAGTCAATTGCATCCTCGGTGGTCAACGATGCGGCAATGTGTAGCGCTGTTTCGCCGATTGCACCACCATGAATATCCACATTTGCACCATATCCGAGCAATGTTTCCACTACAGATGCTTTCCCTGCTTGTACTGCAACGTGTAAAGCCGTATAGTTATCCTGCAATCACGTAAATGTATTTATTATCAAATATCCTTAGTTATGTAGAGACGATGTTTTGTTTACCATCTTCGTGAGATAAAATTTCAGTTCGGAATCTTCGAACTGTTACTAGATGTCTCCCACCGTAGATCAAATCTATGAAGCTGAGTTCCAGAGCGATTTTAAAGTTACATCCGGGAACGCTTCACGAAGACTGCGGTACAGAGATCGCTGCTTTAGTCCATCTGAGGATTTGCATATTGTCTGTGTACTCGTCTTACATCGCCATGTCTTGCCCGAATACGTACTGATATCATTTCCCCGGCTGATTTTTGTTACAGCACTAATTCAGCTCGCGTTGATATTGTG